ATTATTTTTGATCAATCTTAGGTAATTGAGTTCTCATTTGTTAATTATTTTAAGTAAAATAAAACTGACTATTGGCCGGTTTGGGTTAGAAAGGGGTTTTGGAATAAAAAATAATAAAAAATGATTTGGACAATTTCCTTTTTATTTATTTTTCTTCTTAAAAAAAGTTTTGGGTTATGAAAGTGTTATATTTTCTAAATATAGTAAAAACAATTGTTAATTTTTATTCATTTATAAAGGTTGTGGTACCGCATATCATCTACAACATTAAGTGTAGTCCTTTAATTTTGGCAACTTTTTCAGTTTCAAAAGAGTTGACAATATTCATGCAAACATAAAATGTCCTTTGTAATGGGTCTTTCCATGTTACACATTCGAATAACGTCACGCCAAAAGAAAAGACATCTGCATTTCTTCTCTATGTTTAACGCATTAGGCGCCATGTACGTTGGTGTACCAACTTTTTAAGTAAATGCAATGTTAGTCATCATACATTTACATCTCTAAAGTCGGTCAATTTTGCTATCACCTCGTTACTAAAATTAATTGAAAACACGGGAATGTTGTCTGGCTCAGTGTCTATGTAATTTGTTTGTTAACTGAGTACTGTTCGTTTTTAGTTTGGTTTTATTTTTTTTTACTTTTTGATATTAATAAGACCAATTATATTCTGCAGAAAGTTGATTCGGCTAACTGTAATAGTTTTATTTTATATAGTATAAAAATTATATTAATAAACCATTTTTTGTATACTATACATTTTAATATTTTATAGTTTTGTTGTTAACTGTCGTTTTAAGTAGAAAAACGACCGCGGCAAAAAATCTCCATTTGTAAAGAAAAGGTTTTGGAGATCGTAAAAACAAACATAACTATGAATTTTACTAAAACTACTTTATTTTTGTCATAAAAACAAAAAATATACCCTTTTCATTTTAAGGGATTCATGAGGATTGTTAATTTTTCTGAGGATGGTAAATATCTTAAACATAATTTCTTTCAATTTAGATTTTTTTTGCCTAAGATTAAAAAGGTATATTTTGAAACACGTGATTTTCTTTAAAAATGCTATTTATGGATTTTTTGAAAGATGATTCTTTCAGTTGATTTTTACAAAAAAATAATCTACTTCTATTTTTTGATTTACCACAAGACTAACTTTGGTTTAAATGAAAACATTTGACAGACATTTAAATTATCGAAAAAGTCGATTTTTTAATCAAAATCACAAAACAAATTAATCGAACAATTTTTAATTTTATTGCAAAAATAATTTATTATAAATCAATTCATGATATTTCAAACAATAAAAATTGATAGCAAATAACGTATAGTCTATGCGATGACAATTTATGTATTTGCGCAAATTCAAAACTCGAGGTTTTGAAGATCGATAAAACAACGATTGATAAATAAACAAATTTGTAAAATTATTGTTTTTGTTTTAAACGGTTTTATTTATATTTCAAAACATATACACACAAGAAATATATGTTTATATTATTTTTTTATACAATATCAATTCTCAATAGAAATGTGTTCAATTTGTTAATCAATTTTATATATTATTTGGCGTTTTTGTTGTGTTTTGACGATTTTTGATATAATCAATTATCAAAACCCACTTTATAAAAATTCTTTGATAATTTTATTTATAGAATTTTAAATCAATAGTGGCAGTGCTATAAATATTTCTGAGGATGATAAGTCGTGTAACAAACACATATTATCAACACAGACTTAAACATCTAAAAAGTAAAATGACGTGTTTTTATATTCAAAAATAGTAACTTACTCAATATACATTTCAGACAGATGTAAAAGTGTAAACTTTCTATTTCTGTCATCCTCAAAAAATAATTGCCATCCTCAGAACTGTAAATCTGTTTAAAACACAAGTTAATATTAAAATGAAACAATCATATTAAAATATACACAATATGATTAACTTTGTTATTACAATAAATTTGAATAATTGCATAAATTACAAAATTATTAATAAATTTGTTATTTTAAAATTACATTTTTAGAAAATTGGTGTTTTCGACTTTTTCAATTTTTATTTTGATAAAAAAACAATTATCAATTTAAATGTAAATTTCAATTATTATGTTATAAAGACGGATTCGTAAATAATTTCAATAAGTATATAATCATAATATGAACAAGTTTAATTCATGTTTTGTTATTTCCCGTCTCAAGTTCGCGATATATAATTATTGTTTTTGTTCACCGATTATTGTGGCGATTTTTTGATTGTATTTAATTTTTTGGCATTCATGACAAATTATTACCATTATTTAAAATTTGAACTTTGACTCGAAATATTAAGTGTAAATTATAACTTGAGTTATGAGAGTGGGCTTTATGGGGAACTGAACCTTATGTATTTGATTTTTGTATCCTCAGAAAAATATTTTTTAATAAGGATAGCTTTAATCCTGAGGATACACCTTATCCTCAAGAAACCCTTTAAAATGCGTTTTTGGGAGAAATTCCAAATTTTACTTTGATTGTGAATAAATCATTTTATGTAAGTTTGAATTTTTTTATTTTTAGTTTTCAATTGAAAAAAATCATTTTGTATGAGGTAATGTTTTTGAATGAGATTTATATAAAATTAAATATAAAAACAAATAAACTCATTAACATACATGGAAAACGAGTTGACAGCACTCTCAGCACTCTGCACTAACGCAGCAAAGGCGGTGTCAGACCTCAACAAAAATAAAAGGGAATACAACTTTGTTGACGACAAGTCACTTGACATTGATCAACTTATTGAAAATGCAGAGGGACACTTCGACAGACTCGATGAGGTATTTGATAGAAAGAAGAACATCGCAACTTCACTCAATACCATCGTCACTGATTTAGACAACGCATCAAACAAAATCAAAAATGAAATAAGTTTATATTTAACAGAAAGCGACAACGACAAGTTGTATGAGATATGCAATATCAAAATAGCACTTTATGAGGAGAAGTGCCAAATGGATATAAAACCATTTGAAGACGAAATCAACAAAATCAAACAAATTAAGAACAATAAAGTTGATCAAATAGTAAAATCAAAGAAATTCATTGATTCAAAGAGACAACGCGACGAAGAGAGAATGAAACGCGAGCACATCACACTTGAAGAGAAAGCCGGTCTTGAAAAGTTGATAGGAATGAAAATTGGGAATGTTGTGTTTAACTCAGACAAAGACGACTGGTCAAAGGGAAATTCAGTGTTTATTGATAAAGTTATCAACAAAGGCAACTTGTGTTTTTTAGTAGAAGACGTTAATCACAACAAGTTTGGTGGCGTGTACACTGGTAATATAAATGCTGTTGACAAATTTCTCAACAGTGGCAGTTCTTACATCTTTTCACTTGTGAGAAGTGGCACTTTGAATCCAAAAAAGTTTGGAAAGACTGGAAATTACACCAATCGTGAATTTTATCTTTATCCTCAAGACAATCCATATCTATTTGTATTTGGTGGTGGTTGTGATATACTTGTATACAAGAAAGGTCAAAATGGTAGTAATTGCAGCCCAGGCACTTACACCGCCAAACACAACGAGTTGACTGATAATGACAATTTCACACCCAAGAGTATCTTTGTTTTCCAACTTAACTGACTTTTTTGTCATTTTTTTGTGTTTTGTACCAAACATTTGCAACACATTGACTCTAAAATGCCATATTTGCAATTTACCACGTCATCACAACTTGAATTAATGTACACCAACTTTAACATAATCTGTTTTTTGAAGAGCAGGACAGACGGAAAGAAAACGGGTTTTACCCTTCAAACCCAACACTGGAACAAACACTTGATTAGGACATCTTGATGTTTCTTTTTTCAGTCATCTCCTCTTTGTGTCTTGTATCTTCTGGAGATGGATTCACGACGTCGCAACTCGCCAGGTTCAACAAGTTTCGACAGTTGCGGCATATCTACTCTTTGTGTCCCGTTGTATCTTTCTGAAGTATATAAATTGAAAAGTAGTTTGGTATTTTTATTTATTATGGGTTTTCTCAAACTACAAACTATAGTAATTAACTATTAAAATCATATTATAGTTAATATTTTCATCTAAAAACAAATAGCACAAATGTTGATATAATTAATTATAATTTGATAGTTTGGTAACACAATTTTTTTTTCAAGCAAAATATTTAGAAAAGATCAATAGATTTTACCAAAGGAGCGCCCAGTTTTGTTACTTCCATATTTCAATTACAAGCAACAATCGAAACTTATAAAAACCAAAATTCTTTATTATATATAAAACATCACCAATTTTTTTGTCATCGGAAATATCCATCACTCAATGAAAATTGTTTGAAAAGGCGTTTATTTTGTAATTATTA